GATCACCGGACAGTGTGCGGCAACCGGTTTTGCGTCAGGGATGGAACCGTCAAAGAAAAGGAAAAGCGTAAGTACACATGCCCGCATTGTGGTGGCCTGGTCGCAAGCAATGTCACGACGGGACAAATTGATCACCGGACAGTGTGCGGTAACCGGTTTTACGTCACCGCTGGAAAGGTGAAAGACCAAAAGAAGAACGTGCAGAAGACGATAGGCAAGAAATAGCCCAGAGGGGCCGTGGCGCACCACGAGAAAAAGGGAAATGGTGCGCCAAAGCCCAGCAAGTGGCACCTCCAACAGAGCGTCGAGGGCAGCCAGAGCCCAGAGCCCAGAGATCCGCTGGCAGCCGTGGATGGCTTTCGGGTGCTGACACACTTGATGTTAGAACACTTGTTTGGAGTCCGTTGCTGCCCTATCTGCCCTGATTGTAATGTTTTTGCTCACGAGGAGCCGTGTCAAGACAAATGTGGTAGCAACGCCGAGCCAAGTGGCGACATTTTCGGGCGTGTTGACGCTGTGTACGTGACACTGGAAGCACAAAAGAGTACTGGCAGCATGCATGGCCACGCGCAAGTTTTCGTGCAGTGTTTGCACCAACATACCCCACTGGAAGAGATTTTCCGATGGCGGGACGAGAACATGCAACCATTACGTCGCGCGTATGAGAACTATCACGCGCACGTGGGCCAGGCCTCTTATGCGGGTCAAGACAAGGACGATATCCAAAAGAGACTTGACGCGGTCGAAGCATCTTGGCCGGAACATGACCATGACACTGTCATGACCGCACCAACCGGGTATCAGCTGCAGCGCGCCCGCGGATCTGATGCAGATGCTGAGGCGGGAACGTGGAAGCAAGCATACTTGGAAGAAGATGTCGTCGCTTTACAGCTTCTGAAACAGCACCATTATCCAACGATTCCATGCAGGCTCGTGTCCCACTGTCAGGATGTCAAAAGAGTGACCGCCCAGGAGTGTGCCAGAGTGAATTCCCGCGCAGACAGTGGCTTTGCAGTGACGCAGCCGTGCTGTGCCCATGCAAACTGAAAAAATACGGCCTGCGGAGTACTGGTCGGAAAAACCGTTTAGGCTCTTTACACGGTCCTTGTGGTGACGAGTGGCTGAACGGGTGCGCGCCGGCCATGTTAGCGGGTCTACGGGGAGCAAATTGCGACGCGCAAGTGCTCTATCGCCTCCCCTACGCCTGCGATGTTTGCGGGGACAAGCTCGTGCCAGAGGAACGTCGTGCCATTGCATTAGCGGCGCAACGTGCGCAAGACGCCCAAACAGGGTATTGCGCGGACTACTGTGCAAAGAACCAACCGATGGGTTTCGCAGAAATCAAAGAATTTCAAAAAGGCCATGACCAGTTGGAGGGGTTGCACTTTCCATGCCAAATGCTCCCTCTGAATCCCTAGAAAAAAAAAACCTGTTCTCTCATTTCTTGCGCTCTTGGCCCCGATCTTGGCCCCGAACACCTGGCGCCAACAGTTTTCTTCCATTTTTCTCGCGCATCCAGTTTGTTTCCATTTGTCTCGCTCATCTTGGCCCCGAAGACCTGACCCCGCC